CGTGCTTCTTCAGCGGCCAGGCGCTCGGCTTCCTTGACAGCAGTGCGGGCGGCCTCTTCAGCGGCCAGACGTTCGCGCTCGGCCTCCTCAGTTGCGAGACGCTCTGCCTCGACAGCGGCAATGCGGGCAGCCTCCTCAGCAGCCAAACGTTCAGCCTCCTCAGCGGCAAGACGTTCAACCTCCTCGGCAGCAATACGCTCTGCCTCCTCGGCGGCGATACGGGCAATCTCTTCGGCAGCCAGTCGTGCTTCTTCAGCGGCCAGGCGCTCGGCTTCCTTGGCAGCAATGCGGGCAGCCTCTTCAGCGGCCAGATGTTCGCGCTCGGCCTCCTCAGCTGCGAGACGTTCGGCTTCCTCGGCGGCAATGCGGGCAGCCTCTTCAGAGGCCAGACGTTCGCGCTCGGCCTCCTCGGCGACCAGGCGCTCACGCTCGGCTTCCTCAGCTGCGAGACGCTCCGCCTCCTCAGCTGCGAGACGCTCCGCTTCTTCAGCAGCAAGACGCTCTGCCTCCTCAGCGGCAAGACGTTCTTTTTCCGCCTGCTCGGATGCCTGTGGCTCGGCCGGCCCATCGGCAGGGCGTTCCGATTGCATGGTGGCCAGATGGGTGCCCCCCTCGGCGGCCAGACACCGATCCCGCTCCAGCTCATCCTCACCCCTGTCATGGGGGGTCGCCGCATGGGGAGACTCGGCATCGCCGTCCAGGTCCAGGTCCGACAAAGTGATGTCACCCTCCCACCCGTCAATTGCCTGGAGGGGCGGCGACGTCGGCATGCCGGTCCGCACTGGGGCGGGGCTGGTGGCGCCGGCAGGGACCGGACTGCCCGCCGGGGAGGGCGCAAGGCTGGCAGGCCCGCCCGGCGCCGGGCTTGAGGATGAGCCCCAGGCAAGCGCCCCGGAGGTGCCCACAGCCCCGGGCCCATCGTCCAGGTCCAAATCCAGGTCATCGCTGATGTCCCAGCCGCCGTCCGCGGGCGGGGGCAGTCGGATGGAGGCCGAGCTTGCGGACTGGGCCTTGGGCCGAGGGCCAGGACCCGGCTCCGGGTCGGTGCCCCAGGCATCGGCATCCGCCAGCCAGTCGTCGCCGGCGTCCCAGCCGGGCGCGGGGCCGGCCGCATCGATCGCCAGGGGGGATGGCAGGGCGGCCCGAGCATCGGCCCCGGGGGAATGGGGTGTCCGGGCCGGAGTCCGGCCACCAAGCCAGGACGCATGGCCAGGCGCCTGGTCGCTGGCAGGAAGGGCGTCAGGCGCCTGTGTCAGAGGGGGGTGGCCGGCGCGCGAGCCGGGCCCGGGCTCGGCCGCGAGGCCGTCCAGCAGCCGATGCAGGCGCGGGTCGGCCTCGTGCGGGGGACCGGCCGGCCGGGTATCCTCCCCGGCCGGGGGTTCCCCCTCAAGGGCGTGGTACGCCAGGTCCAGGGTCTCATTGATGGTGCGTCCTGGACGGGGCGAAGGTGCGAAGGGGACAGGGGTGCGGGGGTGCGGGGGGGGGGGTGAGTATGGAGTCTGACAACAGTGACCAGTGGGGAGGGAGGGTGGCCACGCACCGAGGCTGCCAGCGAGGGCCGAGCCATCGGACAGGAGCTGCGACTGAATGCCCGACAGGAGGGTGGTGCCCCAGCTGAACATGCTGCGGCCGCCCTGCTGCTTGGACTCGGGCGCGGGGTGTGCGCCGGGGGGAGCTGCCGCCGGGGGGTGGGTGCCCGGGTGGGCCTGGCCGCGAGGGCCATCGGGGGGCTGCCAGTGGGCATGCGCCCCGGGCGGCGCACCCTGCGACCGGTGCTGATGCCGGTGCTCGGGCGTGGGGGTGAGCTCACTGGGGGGCTGGTGCTCGGGCGCGGGCAGGGAGGCGGCCAGGGGCCCGGACTGGCACTCGGACGTGGATTGCGACTGGGGCTCGGGCCAGAGGGCAGGCCCGGGCACGGGCTCGGGCACGGGCTCGGGCACAGGCTCGGGTGCTGGCGCCGGGTCGAGGATGGCCGGCGGGGCCGGCTCATGGACCGCCTCGGGTGCGGGCCATGGCTCGGCGGCGGGAGGCAGGCCGGCAGTGGTGGGCACTGTTGGATCGGGCCCCGGGTCCGAGTCCGGCGGCGAAAGGACATCGGAGAAGTCCCCATCATCGAATGCCTCCCATGCGGCGGTGGCGGCCGCGGCGGCCGCGGCGGCCTGCCGGTGCCGGGCCTCGCGCTGGGCCGTGGCCAGCGCCACCCACAGATCCCCGGGGTCGGAGGCCCCGGCCGAGGGGAGGCGCTCCGGCACCGGGAGCGCGGCGTCCCCGAGGAAGCCACTCAGGGTGGCGAGGGCCTCGGAGGACAGGCCGAGCGCCGGGGCGTCGACCAGCCGGGCCGCCGGGGCCAGGGTCGATGAATCTGACCCGGGCAGGGAGGACGAGGAGTCCGACCCGGAGGACCCGGCGCTCGACGAGACGGCGGCACGGCCGTGGAGCAGGCGCAGCAGGCGCCGGGGCAGTCGCCGAGCCGGGCCCGACCCCCCGACATCCGGCACACACAGGTCGCTGTCGGACAGCTCGCCCTCGGAGGCGGTGACGAAGTCCCCCTCGTCATCGCTGCTGGCCGGGAGGGGCGGGCCCGGCGGCGGGGGCCCATCGGGCGACAGCATGATTAGGCCAGCGCGCGGGCCGGGCGCCGAGGTGGGGCGAGGTGGGGCAGGGCGGAGGGCAAGGTCCGGGAGGGGGGGGGGGGGGGGGGGGGAGAAAGGGAGGTG